ATGAGACACTAAATACATATGCGCCACATAAATCATTCGGTTTATCTGAGGGTTTGGATACTGCCTAAGTTCCCAAACCGAAGCAGGTGGTTTCCTTAAGGGCCACACCTCGAGTCTTTGATCTGAAGGTCTGATCCACAAGACAGTGATGCAACGTAAGGCGATGCAGTCCCATAGTGGCTAGTGACCAACGATTGGTTCATACACCATTTTCCCTTGGGATACTGTAGCCCATATGCACCATTGGTTTGGTATCAAGGTCTTCCAACTCACCCTCGGTATCCATTAACCCAGTTGAAGCGCTGAACTTTCACTTTTCGTCTTCCCAATTTCATAAACAGCACTCCTGCTTCTAGAAGACAATGAGTAGAAATTCCCTGCCAGTGATTGTATGCACTTGGCCATATGAGAGCATTTGGAGAGAGAGAGAGAGAGAAAGAACGAACTGTGCCCACCCTTGACCATACCAGGGCATTTGTAGGCTCGATTTCACATCACTAAGAAAAATCATCCTCTAGGAACAAATAAGTCCCTAGTCTAATGATTCGTCATTTAAAAAATATTCATAATTTATTCGGTATAACATTAAACTAAAACTGTCATCAACTTGAAAAAAAAATTTTTAATTTTCTATTTTTGGAAGGGGTTTTGTGGAGATTTTAGAAATTTCACTGATTAAAATTATGAGTCAATTGAAGCAACTTCGTGGATTGGTTGAAGTTAGACATTAACACCGTTGGATGCTGGCCATCTCAGTGGTCTAGTTGGTTAAGCGCCTGGCGCGAGACTGATTGGTCCTGGGTTCGAACCTCGTGTGGTGCGGGACCATGGATGTCCACTGCTGAGGAGTGCTATACTAGGACGAAACGGCCGTCCAGTGCTTGCAGGTTTTCCATGGTGATCTAGCTTCAATTGACTCATGATCTCAACTGTTGAAATTACTATGATAACCATAAAACCCTTTCTGATCTAATCATTAAGAAAAAGACAAAACAGGTTTCACCTGGATTCATCTACCAGCTCCGAATGTCTTAGTTTTTGATGGAGTTTTGTGCTCTGGGCTGGATGGTTTAGTTGTAGAGTTTTCATTGTTCTTCTGAGCGACATCATCAGCACAAACTTCAGGTAGAACATAGTAAAATCTAAGAATTAAACAGTAAACTATTCCTTTGCAAAATATTCATCAACCGTCTCAAACTTTATTGCTCTTTCATTTCCACATCAATCATTCTCTGTTCTCGTTCTCTTTTCATCAATATATTTAACCTCCTACCGATAGACATTTCATTTTCGATTGATGTTACATCCTACTTATATCTGTCGATATCAGTAGTATATACCACGAAAGTAAGAGTGGACTTTCTAAAGAGTTTTGAATCTTAGGTAAGTTTTTATCAAGAACTAAATTTACAAATGAGAACTACCACACTTCAGCTGAACTAAATGTTCTGCATTATGTTTATGACTTACTAAACAGTCGTAAACTAGTGTAGAGTTAGTAAAATGTCACTGAGCCATAGTCAAATCATCCTGCAGTTGAGTCACTGAATCATCGATCCTTTTCAAGATCAAGGAAAACAAACGCGCATCAGTTAATTGTACTCCATTAACCGGCTCATGCAGTGGGGGTCTTACTTTCGCGTGTATCTACTTTAACTAATATATTTCAGTAATAAAGTCCTTTGTGTTATACGGTCTTCAAAGCATTCATAGTACATTGATACATCGAATGGGTAATTCACGTTAGTTGCTGATCGCAAGGTGTGACTTCTAAATTATCTGTTTCGTTACACCATCCCCATCTAACTCGAGTAGGCCTCCAATCATTCAGCACAGATCATCTACCTTGGTGAACTACATTCGGATTAATTAAGATAGTTCATATTATTCTAGTGAAGGAGAACACAGGTGAACACAACCGATTATATTTAGCACAAAATTACAGAGTTGCTTTTTAAATCATACACCAATATTTCATTTGCAAAATGTTCATTAATTGTCTCACACTTCATTGTTCTTATATTTTCATCATACCAATTGCTTTTTGTTCCCATTCTTCCCTGCTCTATCTTTCCAACCTTTTGTAGCACACATCACATTAACACCCCTATAATAATAATTCATATAGTAGTTGAATTTATGAGTCAACTGAAGCTAGACCATCATGGAAAACCTGGAAGCATTTGACGAACGTTTCGTTCTCATACTTCATTTGTTGACGTATTGTAATGAGAATCATCATCATCATCATCATCATCCAAAGCATCATCATCATCATCCAAAGCATCATCATCATCATCATCCAAAGCATCATCATCATCATCCAAAGCATCATCATCATCATCCAAAGCATCATCATCATCATCATCCAAAGCATCATCATCATCATCATCCAAAGCATCATCATCATCATCATCCAAAGCATCATCATCATCATCATCCAAAGCATCGTCATCATCATCATCATCCAAAGCATCGTCCAAAGCATCATCGTCATCCAAATATTAAGATTATCTCTATAACAATATGTTTCTTATCATTACATAATCCTAATTTACAACTATACACCCAATATAAGCAATGAACACATAATGAGATTATTCTATTAGAACAATTAAACAGATGTTTATTGTCCCTTTTTAATTCAATTAAAATGTTTCATTCAATCTGTAATTATCATAAATCAAATTTACATATTAAGATAAGAATCATAGATTATGTAATAAGTGTAATATGTAATATGGTATTTAAAAACAACTAATGCTTTTTACATTCCTATTAGAATGGGGATGTTGTAGAGATTGAAGTAAGTTAAATAGTTGAATTTATGTGTCGATATAAGCTAGATTGCTACTATTGAAAACCTAGAAACACTGGATAGCTGTTTCATTCTAGTATAATACATCTTAGAACTTCGATCTTTCACTCAAAGCTCAAACCCACGACCTTCAATCTCGCACATAAACACGTAACCTCTAAACCACTGAACTAGAATCTAAGGATGCTAATGTCTAATTTCAATCGATCCATGAGGAGTCCGATAATAGGATGAGACGGTAGTCTAGTGCTTTCACGCTTTCAATGATGGTCTAGCTCAGATCGACTCATTATTTCAGTTATTAAATTACTATAATCTCTACAAAACCGTATTCTGATTATAATCATCATGTGCTCACCAGTGTCTTGTTTCAAAATGAATTTCCTGGAGTTCAAGCGAGAAGCTATGACCGGCGGATTTCAAACATGTCTGTGATGAGGCAGTAACTCACTGAAGACAATGGAGGACGGTCGCAGAATATCGTGGATTGGTTGAAGTTACACATTAATACAGTTGGATGCCGGATCAGTGGTCTAGAGGTTAAGCGTTCGCGTGCAAAACTGAAGGTACTGGATCCAAGTTTGTTTGATGTGGCATCATGGGCAAATAGAGCTGAGGAGTCCCATACTAGGACAAAACAGCGATCCAGTACTTCCAGGTTGTCCATGATAATCTAGCTTCAATTGACTCATGAATTCAACTATTCAAGTAACTCTGAATCATTAATTAAAAGGAAGACTATTCTAATCCTTTTTTTCAATTATATTATAACTTATATCTCATCCTACTACACATAATTTTTACAACAGACCTGGTTGAACTCCATTGATAACGACTTCCCACTAGAACTCCAGGAGTGTCTCCTGAAGTCAGTCACTAGTGAGCAGGTGATTATTATTATCAGAATGGATTTTGTGGAGATTTTAGAAATTTCACTGATTGAAATCATGAGTCAATTGAAACTAGATCACCATGGAAAATCTGTAAGCATTGGACGGTCATTTCTTCCTAGTATGGGACTCCTCAGCAATGCGCATCCACGATCCCGCACCCCGTGTGATTCGAACCCAGGACCTGTCGGTCTCGCACCAGGCGCTTAACCAGCTAGACCAGTGAGCTGGCATCCAACGGTGTTAATGTCTAACTTAAACCAATTCACGAAGTCGCGCCACCGTACACCATTGTCTTCAGTGAGTTGATATCTCACAAACCTGGAAGTTCTAGGGAGAAGCCGTTGCCAGTGGAGTTCAACCAGGTCTGTTGTGAGATAGGAACTCACATAATTTTTACTTTATAAATTATTAATTCTAAAATGAATTTCAATAGTTGAGATCATGAATCAATTGAAACTAAACTACCATAGAAAACGTGAAAAACACTAGACAAACATTTTGTCCTATTTTGGGACTCTTCAACAGTGCACATCCACGACTCCACTTTACTAGATTCGAACTCAGGACCTATCAGTCTTGCGCATGAGCGCTTAACCAGCTAGACCACAGAAATTGCTGTCATCCAATAGTGTTAATATTTAACTTTAACTAATCTACAAAATTGAACGACACATTCATCATTATCATCAGTGAGTTTCTTTTATATACCTTGAAAAAAGCTTGATTGTCCGTTAATGTATCATTTATTGGGCATTTTTTTAAAAATTTAATTTGTTTCTGAATTTTGATTGGTCTATATACAATTAATATTTTCAACCAATCAAATTACAGCTTTTATCTAAAATAAAAGTATATATAATTGATTGTAATGATACTTAGTCATTGATTCACTTTGTCAATTCTAATCCTAAATCTGTAACATACTACTGATAAAAGTATAATATACATGACATTTCTATTACTACTACTACTACTACTACTACCACTACTACTAATACTACTATTTAACATTATTTTAGGATAATCAGATTATACTGGGCATAAGATGATTGATATTGAATTCTATGGAATGGATTATAAAATGAATTCAAGTGGATTAATATAAAATTTTAAATAGAAAAGAATTGAACTTACTTATACTCTGTTGCTCCTCGTAAAGGAGCAAAAGCTGCCCACCGGCAATCTCTATTCAAGAATTGAACTTACTTACACTCTGTTACTCTTCGTGTAGGAGTAAAGGCTGCTCATCAGCAATCTCTATTCAAGAATTGAACTTACAAAATTGAAACATGTTATTATTACATAATTATATCCTCTTTATTTTATACTTAATACCTTCTATATATTGTATTGGACGTGGTTTTTTCAAATTATCTTCTAATTCATATAATGAATGGAATCCTTCAACACAACTATCTTCTTCATCAATAGGATCATCTATTTCATTACCATATTCAAGTGATACAAATTCATATGCTTATTGGAATTGTCATACTATTCCACCTAACATGACATTATGTAAAAGTGTAGGTTATTCACGTATGGTATTACCAAATTTTTTACATCATGAATCATTACGTGAAGCTATACAACAAGCTAATGTATGGATTGCATTAGTGAATACAGATTGTCATCCTGATATTCAACGATTTTTATGTTCATTATATGCACCAGTTTGTTTAAAAAGTCATCAAGAAGCTAAAATACCACCATGTTGGGAATTATGTAATCAAGTACGTAATGCATGTTTACCTAGAATGAAATTATTTGGATTTGATTGGCCAGATATAGTACATTGTCAACAATTTCCACGTTTAGCTGAAAGTATGTGTATACCACCACAAGAAAAAAGTACAGGTAAGTAAAGTAGAATTATTCAAGTTTTTTTTTTAAAGTTATACTCAAGGTAAAGATGGATAGTGGTTAGCAGTGGAATCTAGTTTGATGCAGTTTTCGTCCTATTTGGAACTCGTCAACTAGAGTTATCCCGAAAGGAACATCAATTCTGGGATGCAGATAAATCAAGCTGACGAGTCACAAATGGGACGAAACGCGAGTCAAACTGGATTCGATTGCTAGCCACTATTCATCTTTGCTTAAAAAGCTTGTGACTTAGGGCAATATCAAGCCAATCCGCACAGGATGTACAAATACCAATAAGAGACTAATCATTTTCAGTCCTAAATAACAATCAGAAAATACAAGTAGAACAACACCAAGTGAATTTATGCTCAAGGTAGTTATGTAATCCTTGCCATAGATTGAGTTTATATTTCGATTCACAGTAATATTTAACTTCGAATATAAAAATAGACAGGATGATATTATAAGTATTAATGAAGTGCTTTAATCACCCACTATGTAGTGCGGCAGTAGCTGTATTATCTATAAATCAAGCGATTATATGACATTCTTCTTTGAATCTATTCGGTAAGTTAGAAACGTTCAATAAGACAAGACAGCACTAACAACAACAACAACAACAACAAAAAGACTGGTTTATAGAAGAGTTCTGGTTTCAGTACATTCATTCACTAAATAGGCATATGAATGCCTGGTCGGACGATGTAGCTGACTGACTGAACAACAATAAATATGTACTTTTTCACGCAACGATAATCATCAATAAATCATCAACAATAATAACAAAATGATGATGAACATATTAACAGTGAAGTTAGTAGCAAAATCACTTGGTATTGTTTGCTTGTATCTTCTCATTGTTGTTTAAGACTGTAATTGATCAGTCTCTTATTGGTATATGTGCATCATGTGCAAACTGCCTCGATATTGTCTTAATTCACATACGATCTAAGCAAAGACGGATAGTGGTTAGCAGTGGAATTCAGTTTGACTCGCGTTTCGTCCTATTTGAGACTCATCAGCCGAATATGCTTGCATTCCAGAGATGATGTTGACTCTAGGACCCTAACCCAATACCATCCACTTCAAACGCCATCGTGTCATTCACTTAACTACTGAATCCTGCTAGTCACTTGCTTATGCAATGCGGGTGAAGTTAACTTTCATGCAGAAATCTGATTCAACCTGTCAAATGTCATTTACACATAATAACTTATTTTAACTAGTTCAGTTCAATAATCAAGTACAAATTTGTCTATTCAATGTTAATTCTTCCATTTATAAGTATGGTTAATCATAATACATTAATGTTAAATTAGATTAAAATATAGAGAAGTGAATTCGACTAGACAATTGAATTACACTTACTTACTTACTTACTTACTTACTTACTTACTTACTTACTTACTTACTTACTTACTTACTTACTTACTTACTTACTTACTTACTTACTTACTTACTTACTACTTACTTACTTACTTACTTACTTACTTACTTACTTACTTACTTACTTACTTACTTACTTACTTACTTACTTACTTACTTACTTACTTACTTACTTACTTACTTACTTACTTACTTACTTACTTACTTACTTACTTACTTACTTACTTACTTACTTACTTACTTACTTACTTACTTACTTACTTACTACTTACTTACTTACTTACTTACTTACTTACTTACTTACTTACTTACTTACTTACTTACTTACTTACTTACTTACTTACTTACTTACTTACTTACTTACTTACTTACTTACTTACTTACTTACTTACTTACTTACTTACTTACTTACTTACTTACTTACTTACTTACTTACTTACTTACTTACTTACTTACTTACTTACTTACTTACTTACTTACTTACTTACTTATTTACTTACTTACTTAGGCCTGTTACTCCCAATGGAGCATAGGCCATCGATCAGCATTCTCTAACCCACTTTGTCCTGGATCTTCCTTTCTAGTTCTATCCAATTTTTGTTCATTTTCCTCATGTCTGTCTCCATTTCTCGGTGTAATGTGGTCTTTCTCTTCAATTGAATTATAATATCCGCTTAAATCATTATCGCTATTAGGGTTATTTGAATTTATACAATTTCATTTAATTTACATTCAATACTTAACTGTCTTGCTTATCAATTAATTCCAAGCTAATAAACTTTCAAACTGTACAAAACAAACATTGAATCTATCAATAGATTATGTCTACACTTTAATAATTCCAATAGTTGAGATCATGAATTAATTGAAGTTAGATCACTATGAAAAACCTGGAAGCAGAGGATGGCCATTTCTAGAGATATAGCGTTCGTTTACGAGACCAAAGGTCCTGGGTCCAAATCCCGTGAGTGGGATCATAGATGCGCCCTGATGAGGAGTTCCATACTAGGAAGAAACCGTCGTCCAGTGATGGTGATTTAATATTGATCCATTTATGATTTTAATTAAAATAACTTTTTAGTCAAAAACCGAAAATATAATTTCTAAATTCTTCAATATTTAGATGTATAATATACATAATTATGAATCATACTGCAAACTTCATGACATTCTCGACTAATATTTAAAATATTAGCGGTTAGATTTTCAGTTTCTGAATAAGACTAACATCTATTTATAAGCATGTGGCTATCATGAGTCAGTAGCTAAAAGAATAACTTGATGGCATTTGGAACGAATGGTATTAGGTTCGAGTCCTAGAGTGAACATCAACTCTGGAATGCAAGTACATCCAATTGACGAGTCCGAAATAGGATTTAACACATGTCCTAGATTTCACTACTAACCACTATATATGTAACCTTCGAACCAAGCATTGCAGTCAAAATGTACATAGAATGTCGTTGATAAGCTATAAGATAGATTCTTTACATAATCAACAAATTACCACTTTATACAGTTGGTTCATGATGCAGGATCTGACTTCCATTATATCGTATGATTGATTGTTATTGAAATATATATATATATCGTCAATCCTCGTATGAATTGATTTAAATCATAATGGAACATTCCACCCCCCCACCCGCTGGATGGATCAATGAGCAGAGTTAACATGAGGACAAAGTATCGACAAGATAATACAATTTAAGCATGTCCATTATGATTGCTGTATTGGCTTCGATGAATGTGTTACATTAAAAGTCAAGTCATTTGAATTACTCGTCAATTAACTTGGTCACTTAATTCGTTTACCGGATAAGTAGAGTTTGAAATATTCACCGTTTGAGCAGATTTCCAGGGTGTGTTTTAGTTTGAAGATGGGCTCACCACTTTAATGTCGTTAAACTTCAGTCAATGTTACGGATCAGTAACTATATCGCCTACGATTTGACTGATTTCTATGAAAAGTGATGTTAATTCGTCTACAAAGTTTGTCATTGTTAACAACATATTGCTTATTTATTTAATCTATTCATTGAAATGTTTTTGTAGTTTAAATGTACTATCTAATCTCTGATAAGGAATTTTTGACTTTCCCTTATTACTTACTAACTTTCACCTGTTACTCCTTCTCGAAGAGGATAGGCCACTCACCAGCGTTCTTCATCCAACTATGTCTTGGGTAATTCTTTTCATGTTTGCTTCCAATTCTTAGCGCAGTGTGTTCTTTGCTCTTTCTCTTCCGTTTCTCTTCAGCATTTCAAATTAAAGTATGCTTTTTTTTATTCAGTTTGATGATCTTCGTAATGTATATCTTATCCATTTCTAAAGTATTTTTCTAGTTCCCTGTTTAGCCCGAAGCTGGTTTATTCTCTTCCACAATAGATTGTTACTACTAGTAACCGGTTAGCGGATATTGAATACCCTGCGTAGAAAAATGTTGATAATTACTTGTCCCTTTTTGATGATTGTCGTAGTAGTTCTCGAAGTTTCATCTCTGAAAATTAGAGCTGTCTTGACGTTTGTATTGAAGATTTAGACTTTGGTTTTGAGTTGCATATGTTATTCAACTGTAGGAATGCGATCCTTGCTTTGCTAATCCTCGTCTTTATGTCTGCATCAAATCCTCCACGTTTATCGATCACGTTAACCAGATACGTGAATATTTCCACCTTTTCCAAAGTTTCTCCATCAAGTATGATTAGGTTGGTGTTCTTCGTGTTGTATTTGAGGATCTTCCTTTTTCCTTTGTGTATGTGTGTGTGTTCTGGGGTCTACTGATGCATAGACTGTTACTATATTAGTTGTAATGACCTGGATTCATTGATTTCATTTATTAATCCAGTTTAATTGTTGCTTTAAGTACTTTTTAAAAAAAAACTTCACACTTTCCTCTCCAATTGACTTAATTGGCTTTTTTCTCTCTCCCTTCTTAATTGACATCAATTATGGTTTTCATTTCCAATAAGAATAATAATTGATTCGATCTTCAAGAACCCATAATTATCTTGGTTCTTACAATTGAATAGTTGAATTCATGAATTAATTGAAGCTGGATCACCATGTAAAACCCGATTGGTTAAAGTTAGACATAAATACAATTGAATGTCGGCAACTTCAGTGATCTAAGAGATTAAGCGTTCGCTCGCAAGATCGATAAGTGCTAGGTTCAAATCCTGTGAGTGGAATCGTGAATGCACGTTGCTGAGGAGTCCCATAATAAGATGAAACGGCCACCTAGTGTTTCCGGGTTTCCAATGATGGTCCGGCTTTAATTGACTCATAAATTCAACTAATAAATTTTCAAAAGGGGTTTTGTGAAGATTTTAGTAATAGTTGAATTCATGAGTCATTTGAAGTTAGATTACCATGGAAAACCTGGAAGCACTGGACGGCCTTCATAGATCGAACCCGAGTCTTTCAAACCAAATAACCACAAACATAAACCTTATATGAACAATAAAGGTATAGGCTTTTCACGATTCTTTCAATTGTTTATACTTTGTTGAATATATGTAGATAATTGACTTTCCTGCCCAACAACAATCACCATCCAACCCTGTCCTGGGCAATCCTTTCCAGTTCTTTCCATTTGTTATTCATTC